TGGATAGAAAGATTCGCCCACGCGAATTAAATCAGCCATTAATACGTATATATAAGTTTCTTTAAAAAAGGTTTTTTTTTGGCATTCGTGTCAGAACAGTTTGTGTAAAAAAAAATGTATTTGCTCCCATTGGTGGGCCCATGTTAATTTGAAATCGTGTGAAAAGAGTTGGATGCTATCACCCTTATTAAATACTTTAGATGTCTGATTTTTTTTTTTTTTTGTGACAGAAATCGAGGAGAAATCTGCGAAGGTCATAGTAGCTGGTGGGACGAATTTACTTCATCCGGCTCGTTGCGCTTTCCACTGAGATCACTTTACGCTGGGCTAGCCTATACCTTGGTTGGTTATCCTTGCACCAGTTTAAGTCTTTTCAAGTGCGTTTACATTGGTGGCGGTTTCAATGGTTTCAGGCAGTTTGGTCAATTTTAGCTGAAAGCAAATGTAATTACAAAATATATTCAATTCAGACGTGCGTGAGTTATTCTATCCGTTTCGGATAAAATGAAGTGAATCAGCGACCACTTGTTAGAATGTATTTGAACTTCGAATTCCGGCAAATTAAAGGAGAAGTGAATCAGCGAGCACTTGTTAGAATCTATTTGAACTTGGCACATAATATCTGGCTTTTAGATCTACATTTTTTTGAGTGGTAAGCTTTTCATGGTGAAAAGCTCACTTTTTCTTCGCTTCTCTCCCCTCCATTGTGATGGATTGGAGAGAAAATTTTGTCGTATTTTAAATAGGCTTGTAATTTTTCTTGCATATAGAAAAAACATTCATTTGTGTTATTTTCACATAATAATACGGCAGCTTATAATTTATCAACGCTTTTCTATATATTAAAATAACACCGGCTAAAATCGCTCACACTTAATGGTAATATTTCTTCCCTAACACTAATAGAAACATATCACAACAACAATATTAATAAATTTTCTAACAAGTTTATGAGAATCATCTCTTCATTCATTAGTTACGAAATGACGGCCTTTGCAAAACAAAGCTAAAAAACAGAAAGAAAAGCATTTGCACCTTGCCAGGGGAAGCTAGAACTCAGGACATAATTCGCAGTCCATAGACTGAGTTTGATCTTACGCAGGGCCCGTCGACCAAGTACGCTTAAGTATTATTATATTTTAGTTTGATGTCATGCCACTCTTGACTGCGTTGGCGTACTTTCGGGCCGTAATTATGGCAGTCACATGTGCATGCAAATTTAATAGCATTCTAAATATTTGCCCAAGATTTTAGCTTCACTCTTTATGTACAGCTACAGAGATGGCTGTAAGTACAACTCGTCGCTCTGTAAACCTAATCGGTGCCCGAAAGTTGGCTTTCTATCAAAATTCCTGCGGTCTGAAGTATTTTAGGAGGAACTCACGTTAAATTAGCGTGCAATTTTACGCTGTCCGAGGATGTATATACGAAGGATACGAAAGATATACAAAGCCTTTAATACGTATTTATGGATATAACACAAGCTAGCTGTTATAAATATTTGACGGGTTGTGCGCAAAAGTGATGAAATGACAAATATAAAAATGATTGAAACAATTTTCATTCTATTATCATCCTAATCAAGGTTTGAGAACAAAACATTAATAATGATTTGTTGTAATAAAATAAAAATTGTTTTTTCTTTATTTATTTATTTATATTTTTCATTAGTATATTGTGTTTACCTAAATTCTATTAACATCCATAACGTACTAAATATGCTTGGCTGTCCTCTCCGCTCTGTACATGTACGCATATGCATGTACACAGTCGACACAATTTGCGTTCTTTACCACTATTTTAAATAATCATAAACTTTACATATTAATTTTTTTACTTGCATTTCTAACTACAACAGCATACGCATGTGTGTGTGTGAGTGTGTTTTCTCTTTGTGTGTGTGTGCCTGTGTGTATATGGGCCGAGAAATTTATTAATTGTTTAAAGCATCCGGCAAATTGCAAACGTTTATCTCTGTGTGGGTGTGCTAGATGGATGCTTTAATGTGTCTGTAGGTATTTCTGGCTTGTGTCCATATGTGTATATATGTATGTATTTATGCATACATATATGTATTTGTGTCCTTTTTTCATATCGTTCGCTGTATACATACTAATAATAATGATGTTCTTTAGCTTCAGTTTATAGAGATACTTACACTAAATAAAAAAAATAAAAAATTAAATTATGGTATTTTATAAATTATTATTATTATTATTTTCAATGTATGTGTATGCGTCCGCATTTAAGTGTAAGTAAATGGTTTTATGTTTTCTTAGGTTATGGATACCACTTTATATTTTTATTTTTTTTTTAATTGTAATCATTTTATACACTTTTCTTGTAGAGATTTACTTAATTTATTTACTACTGTTATCGTGTCTCTTCATTTTTTTTTTTTGTTTTTTTTTTGTTTTTTTTTTAATAGTAATAAGGTTTAGTTGAGTTTGCAGTGTAATCATGATAATATAATAATAATAATAATAATAATAGCAACACGGCATGAATTCCAATGTGTTTTATTATTACGTAAAGATGCTTTCTAATGTATGGTATTTATATATATATTTTTTTAAACATTTTTTCTTTTTTTGTTGTTGTTTTGTTTTTATTATAAATATAAATTTACATAAGAACAAAGGAACTATATATTTCAGTCTTTTTAGTATAAAAAATATCTATTGTTTGCATAGTAAACAAATCTGTATTTATGTGTATGCCTGTACTTGTATTTGTATGTGTGTGTTCGTGTGTTTGTGTGTGTGCGTGTGTGTATATGTATGTTTGGGCATATTTGTGTTAATTATTCAAATTTCCTCTTAATTATGTATAAATAGCTACTTTTTATTGTGTGATTTTTTTTTAAATTGGTTGATTGATTGATCGTCCTATATAAGCGATCATATGCGATATCTACAATTTGTTGCTTACGAGCAAAATAATATATAATCTGTATCTATCTACATATTTAGCTGGTTTTTAATGTGTTTGTAGGCATGTGTGCATGTGCATGCGCGTGTCAATAAACACACTCACACATACACTCAATACACACCCAATACTTTCTTTTATCCTTGTCGTTTTAATTATTAGCGTTTAACTTAAACAGAAAAAAAAAGGATAATTTGTGGAAAAGCGATGGAGAGAAAGAGTAAGAGAGAGTGAGAGAGAAAGACTCTATAAAAGCTTAACTATTATATATTTATGTTTCAGTAAAATAAAAATTGGGTTTTGTACTCTGATCGTTATCTATGCATATATGTGTACATACAACCATACATACATATATATAAACACAATCATATATACATGGCATGGCTGCTGTTATAGTTTTTACTATTAATTTTTTAACGATACTGATAGGAACAATAATGATGATGATTATGCACGTGTTTATATATCGTATGTCGCAATTACTCCAGCTTCTACAACAGCAGCAATACGACGAGAAAGTCAAGATACATTCAGTCGCCTTAGGATGGTTTTTGTTTATCCAAACTTTCCTTAAAATTTCTTTATAGAAGCTCTTTTAGTAAACTTTAAAGAATCTTTTAATACAGATTCAATCAATTTTTTTTTTTTAATAAAAAAGTATGAAATAATATTTAGAATAATTTCAAAAGACTTTTTTACAATTTTACATGAAAGAAACTTTACAGTACGTCGCTTAAATTCAAGTTTGTATCATTAAGTGATCACATCTTACAAAGTTATGGGTAACCGGACGGTATTTTTATCTTCTGTTAAATTTTGTTTCAATTAATTACAAAATTGACTACAATTCAGAGTTTATTGCGGACCAATTAGGACGAAACTACTCTTTTTACAACAAGATCAAACCTTTAACCCTTAACGAAAATGAGCGTCTTTTCCATAAATGCGTAACCAAAATTGAAGTCAAAGTTTTTCCAAAAACCTGTGTAGACATCCGTAAACACGTAAACATACATAATTTATGGTCTTGTTTTTAAGCTATTTTTAGATGAAGAGAAATCTATGTGCAATCTTGAAATTTGAAATCATGTCAGAACCTACCACCCGAATCTTTCGGATATTTTTTGATTTATTTCCGCCATTATTCCAAAAATACGTATAAAAAGAAGTTTTTACATTCCCATCAGTCTTATAAACTGCTTCAAACGGACAGAAGGAAAAGAGCGGAATAGAACAAATCGATATAGAATTTCTTGAACAAATTTAAAAATGATTGATTTTCAAATTTCGTTTTCAGATGCCGAGCTTTTTATCTTACATACCGTAAATTATTGCTTAACATATCCTGAATATATTCTGATGTTTTCAAAAAATATTGACATTTTTCATATGTGGTTGGAACAGTTCCACTCTACAGCTTTTCTTGTAAAATTGTTCCAAGATTGTGTCTATGGAGTTGCAATCTGCTATTTTACGCTTCGTGATCTTCAGAATACGAAAATTGAAGCCCGTAAAAGAAAGGACAGTCAAGACTAACTAAGCATAGAATTATATTCTTAATTTTATACCTATGTGTTCGCTGATTCATATTTTTGGATGTTGTAAGAATATGGCAAAATTCAGCCGGATACTTTTAAAAAAGCATTCAAAAGATCTTGTGATTAAATGGAAGTCTATGATGGAACCATATGAAAATGTCAATTGATGTATTAGAAATCTTCTGTCCGAATCCTTACCGTCTTATTCAAACTTTTATAATTAGCTTTTGCATATGAACGGACTCTGTACGTAATATGAACCGGATTACAGTAAGCTTACAAGTAGCTCACAAACGTACGTATGCATTTCCTCCTACATGTGTACATAATGAAACTGAAAAATAATTCCATGAAGTTGTACCAAACCGTGTATATCTAATATACATGTATGTACCTATATATGCATGAATGTAAATAAGCATGTAATTTGATGTAAATAGTGAACATTATATAAACCTATCGTTCTTTTAATGTGTTCTTAATGCAACAGTTTGTTGTTCTTTGATTGGTGTGGCTAATTTTAATTTGAAGGTTTCACAAAATAACGATGACGTGATGTCTTATGTATTAAATTATAATGTGATTTTCTTTGTTTTGTTTTGTTCTTTTCGCATAAAAGAAAGTGTGGGAAAATCCTCATTATTTTTTACAGAAAATATATATATATATATATATATTTCCTATATACAGTTCGTTTGTTCAGCTCTCACTTTATAAACGAAGCTTGTTGGCTTAGGGAGTTTTTAAAATTCGTACACATTTTTTTTTGTGCGCCTGATTAATATTTTTTGTGGATAAGCAAACATAAGCTATTTACAGGATATAGCTGCAGCAAGATTCTACGCTTCTCGTCCTACAAAACCGTTTGGTGGAGGTGGTGGTGAGGATTGTTGTTGTTGCTGCTGTTTCAGCCATTTTTCCTTGAGCGAAAACGTAGACGTTGGTATTAGCCTTAGCTGTGTTCCATGCCCTCCAGTACTTGTTGAGGGTGTATTAGTCGGTGTTGTAGCATGGCTATGACCGCTGCTGCTTCGACTTCGATCGCTGTTGCGTTTATGTTGGGATTGACTATTGCTGCTTCGCCGACTTAACGGTATCCGATCCATTTTCATCCCGTCGGTAGTTTCAAAATCTTCTTCGGATTCATGCGGAGAGGAAGATGACGATGGTGAACATGAAAACTTATCCAAACGGTCGCGCTCAAGCTGAGTGGCTTGCATTTCGGTGGCAGTTGTAGCGAGTAAGAGAGAGGGACCCATCATCTGATAATTAGGATTCTCACTTACATTCACGGTATTTCCGATATCTTCATTCTGCTGCGGTTCACTCATGATTACATAGTTGGCATTTTCACTACTTTGGGATGTAGTTGTTATTGGACACGTTTGCAATTGATAATTAGGATTTGCCGAAGACGTTCCCGAACTATTGAGAGATTCGTCCAGTATTTGATAGTTGGGATTGGAACTGATAGTAAATGTAGAAGTTGAGGGAAGTTTTGGTTTCAGTTTACTTGCGTCGCCACCACCTTCAACGGATGACGATTCATTCAGCCTTCGGTAATTAGGATTTTCACTTATACTCGCTGCTGGTGTGAAAAATCGTGGATTGGAGCAAAAACTGCCCGCGCTCCCACTACCTCCACTTTCTATGGTTCCCAAGTTTTGACCGCTCATACTTTTGCCACGGCCGCCACGAGTCAAGTTACTGCTACTCCCATCACCGGCTCCGCTAATTGGTGCGCATGGATTAGAACTGGAGCTATTGTGGCTTACATTGCTACCGGAACGTTTGTGATTGAAAAAGCGTATATTTTTACGCAAAAGGGTAGGCATCAAGCTATTGCCTAAAGAATCGGCAACAGCTTTTAGGTTAGAATATTTGCCAGTCGTTGTTGCTTTCGAAGATGTATTCGATGACGCAGCAGAAGCTGTGGAAGGGTGTAATGAAGATGCAGTTGGTTGACCAATAACGTCATCAGGCACTGAGCTCGACAAAGGCATAATCCTCGGCAGTATCTGACGTTCTCTAGAGCCTAACAATAAGTTTTGCCCTGCGGACGGTATGGCAAAGTTATCCTCTTCATCATCGCCTGCATGGCAGGAAACTTGTTGTCTATAATTTGGACTTGGATCATATAGTTCGTAACCACGTTCGTCCGTTCCGATCCTTCCTCTTTCTTCGGTTTCTTCGTAATCTGGCTGCACATACGCATCAACATCATCTACCGTGCCTCGTACAATGCCGTGAAGAAATCGCCGCTGGGAGGGTGGATAGAGTTGCCGCTGATGGGGTTGGATATGTGATTGCAACTGACTGTTTACTCGTGCAAGACCGCTTGATGTTGAAGGCAAGGAACTCAAGCCTTGGTTATGATGCAAATTTTGTGATAAAATCAGACTATTTTTCGATTGGACATCTGGTGTGCTGCTTACAACTATGGCCGAGCCAAGACTAAGGATTTACAGAACATATTACTGATTCTTATTTCGATACGACATTTAAATTATTTACCTGCATGGCGAATGAGGAGGTTCGATATTCATTGTTATGGGACTTTCAACTTGATTCTCGCCAGAGGAGTCATTTTCTTCAGCCAATTGAAAACCACCGTACTCTTCCATACGCAGTGGTGTAGTTACATCTTCCATATCGTTCTCAGGTTCCTCAAACACATCGCCAGATCTTTGATTTCTTTCTGCATTTACAATTATTCGAAAAAAGAAAATATATATGTATATGTAAACTTATAAGTAATGTTTTTTTACCAGCAACTTCTTTAGCAAGAACTTGTTGTCCTTCTTCTGAATGATAAAATGAAACTTCACGAAAATGTGGATCAGCCAAATCTGCTAAATAGCGAATAATCTCCATAAAGGTAGGACGAGCGGTTGGTCGATGATGCCAACACTTTTGCATTAAACTATACAATTTGTCTGGACAATTTTCAGGTCTCTCCATAACACCGCCCTCAATGACATAGCGCAGTACTTGATCGTTAGACAGACCCTATAAAAATTCATGATAAATGGGCAAAATTGTGAAATATTTTAAGTTCCCACTTACTTGATATGGTTGCGAAGCTAAAGTGGACATCTCCCATAAAACTACACCATAACTGAACACGTCACTGGCACTGGAATATACACCATCTCTTAAACTCTCTGGAGGCATCCACCGTACTGGCAACAAGCCTGAAAAACGTAATTTCATTAGCGCCAAACATTTTATTATGATATACGTAATACCTTTTGTACCCTTGCGATAATAGTCAGTTTCATAAATATCACGCGTCATACCAAAATCGCCTATTTTCACGGTTAAATCAGCAGCTACCATACAGTTGCGCGCCGCTAAATCCCTATGAACGAATTTCTTTGCTGACAAATAGGCCATACCGTCAGCTATTTCTATAGCCATCTGCAAAAAGCGGCATGACCATTTCTCCATGACTGATTGGGACAATTTCTTTGCAGACTTACCTGATAAATGCGACTTAATGGAGGGGGTTGCGAGGATAGACCTCTTTCGGCCAATGTCATGCCAAACTCATCCCGCTCGTCCGGACGATGAGCGCGAAGATACGATTTAAGGTCGCCGTTCTTCATTAATTCCATAATTACCAACGCAGGTTGGCCACGGGAACAAACTCCTAGTAATCGGACCACATGATAGGTGTCAAACTGTTTCATCACGCTAGCCTCATTTAAGAAATTCATGCGCTCACGGTCCGTGGCATTTTCATTTACAGTTTTAACGGCGCACGGAGTATCCTCGGCGCTGTTATTATAACCCTTTAATATTCCTTCGTACACCATGCCAAACGATCCTTGACCAAGGGGATTCAGTTGTATAACCCGGTCTCGAGCCACCTCCCATTCGTCAGGTATATACTGAAGACTGATATAATAGGGATTTACGGTGGGAAACATTTTTAAATCAGATGGCGGCGTAAGAAAACGCTTGCGAACCAGAAAATATATTGTGCCCCCAATTAATGACAACAACGTCAATAATGCGACACAGATCCCAGCTATAAGAGCTGGTGATGGAGTGGTAGGCTAAGGCGAAAAAAAGTAAAATATAGACTGTGTAAAAATAAAAAGAATTGATTCTAAACTCACTGGAATGTAAATGTAGATGGTTCTCGAAAATTTTCCTTCACCAGCCATAGAGTTTGTGCGTATTCGTATACTGTAATTGCCAGTGAACAGGCCCGTCAGAACATAGCCGTTGTGTTGGTAGTCTAGCTCAGTGTAATCAACTTCTGTAATGCATTTCTTCTCCTCAACTGCATCCTGTGTTTGCAGTTCATACATTATAGTGTACGAGACTACTGCACCATTCGGGCGAGCTGGACGTTCCCAAAACAAACGAATACTACTACGCGAAGAATTCGTAGGCTCAAGATCGGCACGCAGTTTTTCAACCTTGTCAACGTCATCTAATCACATAATATACATATTAATAATGGGAAAAAACGGTATAAGTAAATCTTTTTACAACTCTGTGTGTATACAACATACCTAGCATAAGTGTACGTGCTAGAATTTTTACTTCCATGCTGCATTCGTTGGGAGAAGCTCCTTCCTCAGGTTCGCGGCATGCTTTCACTCCGATCATATACCATGAGAAGTGCTTAAGAGATTTAAATACATAATCTGTAGTAGTAGCGTTCACAGATGCAGCTATAACTTCGTAATAAAGACCATCTTCATCCTTGCGTGTTATATTGGAAGGCATATTATGCTTTTCCTGCTTAGGCTCAACCAACGCGGAGCGAACAGCCCGATCATATTCATCGATCGGAATATCACGTATATGACGAAGCAAGAAGCTATCGTTAGGAGTGCCTTCAATGTTACGACGTCTTCGTTTAGTCATATCGGATTCATTGCTTTCGACAGTAACCGCATTTTCAATAGGCACGGAATCAGTTTTCCTATAAACAAATAAAAATTTGACTGCTGTGGATGTGTGCTGTTGTGGGAAAAGTTGTTCTGGTATGAGCAAACTCACATACTCCACATCAAATGCAAATACCAAACCCGCCTACCATCACGCGAGGTCTTAATAATATATATATAAATCTTCTTCACTTTGTTTTCTTCGTTATAAGTTCTTGTCGATCGTAGCAGAATTCCCTATATTATTTTCTACATTATGTTAACTACGTTATTGTACAGATTACGTTACGCATATTAAATAACTAAATCAGTTTTTTATACCCGTATTTCATTGCATTTCACTTTGCAAATGTTCGCTTTACACTCGCAAAGGATCTGCGTCAAACAAAGAGTAGTTTTGATGTTCAGCATACGCATGATCTCGAATCGCAATAAAGATTTCGAAATAAGGAATTTCGAAGAGTATAGCGGGGAAAATCAAAGTCAGTCTCTTTAAAGAATAGTGCAAACGTTAAATTAGAATCTATATCGGCTCTTTCCAAGGTAGCGAATTGAAAGGCATTCGCTTGAGAATCTCGAACGGAAAATATTCTTTTAAAATCTTAACAACAATATTTTTTGAAAATGACGCCTTTTATTCGACAAGATTAACTAGACAGTGCGTTGTGGACGTTTAGAATTTATTGACAGAACCGCAAGTAGCGAACACTACAAACAGAAGTCACAATTGGGCGAAAAATTAACTTAAGTTTAATTAAGTGACATTAACTCGTTTAAGCAAAGATCTCAAACGGCAGCGAGTAAGCTAATTCTAATTGATCACCCCATTTGTCTCTTTTGAACCACAACAGGCAACGGTCCGATTCTGGATTAGCTTGAAAATTGAATCGTTCTTCCACAAAAGCACATGTTATACAATATGTAAAACAGCATAGCTTTGATTCGTTATAAACTAAATAGACTTTTGAAACTTTTAAAAATTAAAAAATTAATTTAAGAGCAGAAAAATACGATTTAAACATATTATTATGTATATTATATTATTATATGTATTGTAAATCAGCTTATCAGATTACATGTAAAGTAATCTTAAATACTTTTGAAGAAACGCATACTATATAATTTGGAGCAAAACCACTGTTCGGTTTAAGCTAAACGTAGTTTATTTTCTATTTTGCACTTACTTTACGTATATAAAATTCTGGAGGGTGTTCTCCAACTCGATACTAGCATGTATATTTGCATCAGCATTTTCGTCATCGTATACAGAGTCCTTAGGCTTAGGGCATTTACAACCCTCGGATATTGGAGGCTTTTCTGTTCGCGGACTCTCAATTTTTGGGTTTTCAATTTTAATCTCCTTCAGAGCTTTAAAGAATAAAAGCAAAATGAATTTCTTCGCTTGCTTTCTTTTTAAGGTCTGCTTTACTTACGATCTTTGCAATAGTTTCTGGACTCAGAGTTTTGAATTCGAACTAATACTGCGCGTATCTTGTACATTTTCAATTGGCCATTTGCCGATGTAGGCGGCAACCAAGTCATAACAATTTCTGAGCTGGAATTGGGATAAGCTTGCAATTTATTAACAAACTTAGGTTGATCCGATTTAGTTATAAAACGTTGCACTGGACTTTGGGCATTGCGTCGTTCAGTTGATATAGTCATCGTCTTCACATAGTAAGCATATTGCGTGAAAGGGTTCAGATTAAGAAAAAAATAACGAGTCTCTTTGGTCGGCAAGCTAATTGTCCATCTAATTAAGTCGAAAGTAAAAAAAAATTCAATTTTATTTTAAATTTTTTTCAAACATGACATTAAGATTAAAAGTGAATTAATTACCCATCATCACACGGACGAAATCCGTGCTTGGTGGCATTGCCAAAATTATCTTCAATATGCAAATACTGATAACCGATGAATGTACGCTCATCTTCAAATTTCATAGGATTTAATATCTCAACGATGTCAAATTGTGAATTTATTGTAGTAAGCGTAACATTCAAGAATGTTGTGTTACCTAAAATTTATTAAAATACAAAATTAAATTGATCTTCACTCGTCTGACGTTAATATGTACCGCTTAATTATCACTCACATGATCCTCGTGAACCATTTGAATCTTCAGAAACCTCATTCTTGTCGAATTTCGTTTGATTTTTAAGCATAGGCAAAAGCGTTTCAATTTCGGTTAAACACAATTTCGGGTTGAAGTGAAAATAAACCGTCCCAGCTTCAATGCGTACGGTTTGAAACTTACTTGTCTTCCACGAGTCTTTCGCCTTTTATAGTTTTCAAATTTTTGAAAAACCTTAGATTTAGCATTC